CAGGTGCATCGTGGCTTGTCAGTGCTCTGGTCACAGCGTGGCCCACTCGCGCAGAGGCTTGGGCGGTCGGGTTTTCTTGGTTGACTTTGCATTTGACGTTTAGCACTTGCAAGTCTTGGCACGAGCCCATCCGGCGGAAGGCACGACTGAGCAGGCGCAGGGCACCTTCCTCGCTCCCTACACGTCTTGCCCAGCACACGACACCCCCCCAGACTCCCCCACCGAGCAGCGGCTCAACATCTTCCAGTCCTGGCTCGTCCTGTGCAGCAGTCGAGTCGCGCCAGGGAGAGGTTTGCCCGCTCGCACCCGCACCGCCGTCTATGGTAGCGAAGTCGAAGAGGAACGCGGCGCACGACAAGCGACACGAGAATGGCCTTGCGGCCCCCGGCAAGAAAATCACAAAGCAGAAGAGCATCCCGCAGCTCAATGGCCACGCCAACGGGAAGCCCAGCGAGCCCTCGCCGCCGCTGCCCAGCCATGTAGACACGACCGAGATGACGCAGCACGCCAGCGCCCACGATCCAGCTCCGGGGTCGAGCGCCCACGCCAACACCATGGCCGCTGCTGCGTCGGCGGGATCAGGGCACCGCACGCGCGCTGGCTCGGATGCCTCGCTCGACAACACCCCCGAGGCCTGCCGCTCGTACGACAATGGCAGCGCCGGCGGGCCCTTTGATCCCATGCCCTCGACTCTCCGCCGCGCCGACACCAATGCCTCCAAGTCGGCGTCCATCTCCATGGCCAGCATGCTCGCCGTGCCCGCCACCATTCTCACGTCCTGTCCGCTGCGGGACGTCCTCGCCATCCTCATCATCCTGCTCCAGCTGCCCCCCACCGTCCTCACCGTCGTCCAGTTCCTGTTCGCAACGCTTACTTTTGTCCCGCCCCAGGCCGGCACGCCCCTCTCCGCCCTCTCCGCCTTCCCCTCCTTCACCGACATCTTCCAGGGCTCCGGCGGCACGCCCTCGCTCTTCACCACAATCATCGCCGACACCGTCATCCTGCTCGTATGGCTGCTGCTGTGGGTGCCTGCCCAGAACTTCTTCCTCGACCTCGCACAGGCCGTCATAGCCATAGCGCTCGGCGGTGCCGCAGCCGGCAAGAAGGGCACGACCAACAGCATCGTCATATGCTTCGTCATCATTCTTTCGAGCCACGTCTTCAGATTCAGGCCTCTCCGGCAACACATCGTCCACTTCCTGTGGACGGGGCTCGCCCGGGGAGGCCTTGAATTCTTGACGAGCCCCCCGAGTACGCCGACCTACTTGGAAAGCTTCTCGACCCCCCATGGATGGCCCCGTAGCCTCCTGGGTATTCATATTTTGGCCCAAGGTGTCGTTCGTATCATCCGACGCTCTCTCTCTCGACGAGAACAATCAACCTTACCTACCGGCAAGAAGACAGATCCAGAGTCTGGCACGCTGCAACGCTCCAACTCCACGAACCTCGATCCCACTGCCGACGTGCCCAACTCCTCGAGCACCGATGGTCGCCCCCCGGGGCCGTCGCCTGCAGCACACGTAATCAAGGATAAAGCGAGTAGTGGGAGGAGGAAGAGGAAGCAAGCTACTCATGTTCGTAGTCAGCAGCCATTCTGGGCTGCACTTGCCAGTACAAAAGTTACAGTTTTAAAAGAGATGGAGAGTAGCCGGGCGGCCAACGATGCCGACGAGGCTAACGCAAAAGACGCAAATCACATTGGAAACGCTGTTTGGAGATCGGAGGACGATCGTGTTTGGATTTCAGAAGTCGGCTTTTCCGACATTTCATTTCGTGTTAGTTTATCTGGTGGAGCTGGCCTTCAAGAGCAGGACGATGAAGACTCCAGCGTCGGGTCTGGGATAGACAAGTCGAAGCCCTTCTACATCCGCGTCAACGGCGCGGACTGGAGCTCAACCCGCATCCGACAGAGCGAGCCGATCGGATTCCAGGGACAAGAGGGAACGGGCTATTGGGTAGGAGAAATATTTGGTCTGACAGCTCTCTCGAACTATTATTGCGAGTTTGTTCGGACCAACGACAACCAAGTCTTCTACTCAGCGAGTCTTATTACCTCGGCCAGCCCGGTAACCGAACTTGGTAAGCAGAACATCTTTTGTAGCCTTGCCTTGCTAATGCGTGACAGCTTCAGCTTCTATTGCCTCCCCGCCAGCCCATCAGACCCTACGACCTTCTTCGCCAACAACCACGTTGAAAAACTCTATTGCCGCAGCCGACCAGCAACTACAGGAACAGCGCAATCGGTTGAAGCGAAACAAGAAAGACCACAAGACAGCCATTACCAACATCAAGAAAGAGGTGGACACGCTCGGCAACCGCCTTGCCAACGCCGGAGGTAGTGATGAGCGCCAACGCCAGCGCGTCCTTCAATTCACGCAGAACATCCGCCAAGCCGACGATGCTGCCGCCGAGTTCGCCCTTCAAGCAGAAAATCTGGGAAGCATTCCCGAAGATGAGGCGAAGGAGGCTGCAGCCAAGAAGGCAGAGTGGAAGAAGGAGCGTGACAACAAGAATGCTGTTGCTTGTGAATTCGACAAGACCAAGGAGGAGATCGAGCGACAAGTGCAAAGTGTGGAGTCCGATATTTCTACTGCCTTCCAGAAGAGGGAGCGCCTTCAGCAGCGTCAAACCAGGCTCAACGAGCAGCACGACCGTCTCGTTACCGCCAATGCTGAAGGTTTCACCGCCAAGCAACGAAGGGAGCAAGAACGCGCAGCATTACGAGCACAGCGCGCTGAAGTCGAGCATCAGTATCGCAGCAACATCAATGGCTACGAAAGGCGCACTGAGGAGCAGAACATGTCAACCAGCCAAATTCTGCAGACTGTTCAGCAGTATGAAGAGCTCCTCCTCCAGCAAGCGCACCAGCACATGTCTGTTCCTACCACACCAGAAGGCAATCTCCCAGGCACGAACATGTCTCCTCACGGCAATGGTTTCTCTAGCTTCACGTTCCCGTCAATGCACTCGCACATGAACGGCACTCCTGGTTCCATGCGTGGAGGTCGCGGTCGTTCCTCGTCGATGCTCTCTAACGTATCCGGATTCACCGACGCTTTCGACGAGCCCGCGTCTTCAGGCACTTATGTCCTCGGTAACCCCTTCAGCACTCCAGGTCCGATCAATGGCCGCAATCGCAGTCACGGTAGTGGCAGCCTCAGCTCGGGAACTTCCAGTCAGAGTTCGAGCCAACGAGATCCATTGAGCCCTGTCCAGAGTATCAAGCCGATGATGGTGCGGAGTCCTACTAGTGGGAGTGGTAACAGTCTGATGAGTCCGATTGGCACTGGCAGATGAAACCGTACACGATTTGATCTTTACGTATCTTTAGGTAGTGTTCCAATGTGATATTCGCGTCCTTTTCGTGTTCTCAAAATAGTTCTCGCTTTGCTCCAATTGAAGTGACCTGCGTGTGAATGAACAAGTTCATGACACGACACTTACGGATCGTAAGGAAATATAACTATCTTTGGTACCTACGCGGAGATACACGTGTGGGTACTAAGACGTGAAAAGGTATATGATGACTACATGGCAGGATACGGTCTTTATTCGATTAGTGGAAAGTACACGAAGACTATCACGCTGCCTTGTGCTTGTACATACAACGCCTCGAAACATGTTGTAGTCCCTAAACCTCCTCCACTCAAACCTCAAGCGCGTTGACGCCTTGAATGTCTACACCTCCTCGATGATGGACGACAACCTTGGACTCCAGCCGGTCTGCCCCAGGTCTTCGCTAGCATCGTCCATTCTGCCGCCGCCTCCTTCAGCGCCACGCCTGTTGTCCATGTTGTCCCCTCCGTCACCCCCATGCTCATGCTCGACGTCCTCTTCACCCTCCTGCCCTCCTTCACTTACACCCGCAAGGTTCGGAATCCTCCCATGCTTCATCCCCCAATTACCTGTCTGCATGCAGACACCTATTCACGACCATGCCATCAGTCAACCATACCTTCATTTCCCTTGCTCCAATGATACAATCCAAAAATGAAGATAGGAAAATAAAATAGCAGAAAAGCAAGAAGTGACGTGAACTTACTAATAACTCCACCCATACCTTTCCTCAAGTCCTCCAACAGACAATTCGCTCCAGTGATGATGTCGGGCTGATCTTCCACATGGCTGATGAGTGTCCACGATGTGAATGGCGAACTTGGAGGGCCAGTGTAGAGGATCAATGCCACTCCATGTGTTGGCATCGCTTTCTCTTCACCATCGTTGCTGCTGCTGGTACTAGCAGTATTGAAGGTGCTTCTGCTATCGTTGCTACTGCCGCCATTGTTGGTGGTCATGCTGTAGGTGACTACATCGTAGACTTTTGACGCGTCTTCCGATCTTGTGCCGTAAAGAGGCACCGCAAGGCCTATGATTTGTGCCTTCAGCGTAGAGAAGAATTGCTGCTCGAGCAGTTGTGCGGCGTGTGTTGACATTTTCTTGTCTGTTGAAGGGTGTGTTGGATTGATTAGAGGAGATTGAGGTTGCGACTGTTGACTTGGTGTAGAAGTTGAAATCGTAGTGGTGAGCGTTGGCAATGGCCAGTGACCAAAGTGGAGGTGAATGTCGGGCATAGACATGGTATCGTAAGTCACCTCGAAAACAGAAGAAAGTCATGACATAGTTCTTATCTTTACTCTCGTTTGCTCATTCATCTACAGCCAAACAAGTACGATGCATCTACAAACTATCGTTTGACCAAGTCCCCAACCTTCCACCGTCACTCAGTCTCAAACCTCTCACTTATCCACACAGATTGCTCCGCTGCCCAGCATTCCAGCGCCGCATCGCCTCTTTGATATGATCATCAGTCCAGGGCCCGTACCTCTTGTGGTCCCCATGTGGCTGATATCCCGCCTGATGACTCTCATCCACCCTACTTGCTGCACCCTCCAAAGCCATGGTCCACCAAAAGCCCCCTTCTGCCATTCTACTACCATACAGCTTCCATAGTCCAGGCATATGCACCACATCTTGCACACAGTAATCCTTGATTGCTTGGCTCAACGGTCTCTCTTCAAAGACCGCATATCTGCCACCTCGCTCGGGAGCGAAGAGCCTGACACCAGCCTCTTTAATGGCGCTACAGACTTGCCTCTGCATCGGCGTTATATTCAGGCGTGAGGCATTGTAGTCGATGGCTTTGCCCAAGCCCAGGAGGTGTTCACGGGAGCCGCGGGTAGTAGTTGCTAGCTCCATGAGTTGGATGTCGTGGATGCAGGAGAGGGAGATGGCGTAGTGGGAGAAGAGGGCGTCGGAGTCGTTGCGTACATCGAAGAAGACTTTGGGGATTGCTGTCGATTCCAAGATAGACTTCAGAGTTATGGTAGACTTTCCGGTGTCTTCACTGAGGTTTGTTGTGCTCGGCACAGTATTAAGCGCCGCAGTCACGCTTGATGTTGCTGCAGTGGCAGGCGTTGAGAATGCGCGAGCGCCCAGGGTATGGATGTCGATGAGATACACAGTCTCCTTGGGTAGTACATACAAGGTTAGTAGAGCGATCGAACCATTCCTGCTGAGCTTCGCGCCTTCCAGATCGATGTACAGACTTGGTGGGGATACTGGCAGGTCGTCGAACGTTGCTAGTATGAGAGAGAGCTCTTCTGGAGTTGATATGAATACGACTGGAGGCATGATTGTGATGCGTTGGTACCGTATGTGGTTGTTATAATATTCAAGGAATGCTGTACATTTATATCAGACAGAGAGTGATTGTTTGATGATTCTGGACACGGCGATACCGAAGAAGAAGAGACGAGTAGGTGCGGGCCATGAAAGACTTATGAAGAAGGCAGCACGCCGTACTTTCCGATTCGCAGACTGCACCTAGTATTGCCTGAACATGCCTTCTGTAATGTGGTTCGACAAGATATACCGTCGTGTAAGCGGTGCTAGCCTTTTCAGAAACCGGTGAAGTTCCGGCATATCTCAACGAAACAAGGTGCCACGAAACCCAATAACTACTGACGCGGAAGTCCCATGTTTATCGATTCAGCCTTGGTCCACTTTCCATTGGATCATGGCAGTCGATATGCAAGTGACAGGAGCCCAATATGGAAAAGATGCTCTGACTCGTTCTCACCAGGCAAGATCAACTCATGTTGGGTTAGAACCTATATTGTCATTTGAATGCATTACATGTCCTGAAGTGGTGGCGCTTGGGCAATCCGGAGGAGGGGAAGCGAGGAATGCAGACAAGCCAATGAGATCCAGACCAATGGTGTAACACAGTCGCAAATGGATGTAGAACACCAGGCGAACGGATAATGCACTCGCTACTGGCTCTAGATATATGCGGGAAATTTATATGTAACGTCCCTGGGGATCAAACTTGTCCATGAGCTCCATGGACTTTTCGTACATGGTGAAGACGATACCACCACTGAGGATCAGCCGACCCAACCTTGGAAGTGCTCCTGACCAGAAGGTGAAGAGCCCCTCATCTCTGAAGATCTTGGCCACGCAGTCAAAGCTGTTCTTGTAGGAGCTCCGTGCTTCTATTGACTGCATGCGTGTCTTGACTGTGTCGATGGGCATCGTAGTGTAGACGGTTATTATGCCTGCGAGTCCTCCGAGTCCGAATGTGCTGAAGGCACCGAGCTTCTCTCCTGGGGTGACGTATGACTGCGCTAGCTGCTTGAGCGATGTGTAACTGGAGAAGCGAACGGCCGAGTTGGCTGCTTGACGTGCAGTCGTGGGTAGGAAGCCCTGGAAGAAGCCGCGAATGCCTTTTTCTTGTGCGATTATTCTTGATCCGTGCAGGAAGCCTCGCATGCGTGGGTTTGCCGACTTGCGGTCGTCAATACTAGGCGGATGAGTCAGTGAAGGTACATGAATGCGACCAAGGCTGCTTACAGTTGGGTTTTGATACTCTCGAACGGAGTCACAGCTAATAGCGACTCTGTAGCTCCTGCACCGAAACCAGCTATGACTGTCGCTGGGCCGGAGACTTTGCCTTCAGCGTCTGCCAGCATATTCCTGTACATGTCGAATGCGACAAACCCTGCGTGAAGCGTCAGACAGTCGCCTTCCCATTATTTCCACGACGTACTTATGCCCGCCTTCAGAGAGTTGCCGATGATCAAGGTTGTGCATCCAGCGTACCACTGCTTGCCGAACGGCGGCCATGGCAGCTTCTTTCCATCAGGTAATCTCCGGTTGAGTTGGGATCGTGTCTTTGCGACTATGTTGGGGTCAGGTTCGACTTGGTCATGTAAGCGGATACGATGCGGTGCGTACACTCAGCGGGGTATGTGATTGCTGGTCCAGGGTCAGTCATGAATCAGATTACGATCCGGGCGCATGCTTTACAAATCTCTACGGCACCTGCAGTTGCACCTGCCAGGATTGAGCGCATTGCGCTTGGCTTCTTCTTCTCGGTCGTTGCGGTCGCCATGACGTTTCAAGTCGAGCAGCCTCCGGTGGTGATAGGAGTAGGTTTGTACGCGCAGCAATTGCGCGGGAAAGTTTTGGCGTGTCTACGTCGCGTGCGGTAATAGGAATTCGGGGCAGTGACGTAGTATTGGTCTTGCACTCGAAACCAATCTAGATTCTTTGAAAAACAACAGGAACCACAGTTTGAGGAATCTCGACGCGCCAATGTGAACCAGATTTCCCCAGGTTCACAAAATACTGAATCAACAAGACGGCCGAGGACGGAGGTGAGCAGCGGGCCCGCATTTCGGCGCCAAGCATCCCGCTTGACATCAGCCCGCCTGCGCTTGGGCCATCGAAAAGTTACGCTTTCGAGAGCCATCTATCGCATCGCCATCTTGAAGTTCCATTCCAGTCACACGTTTAGTCCACCATGATGTCCCTACGCAACATCGCCCGCAGCGTCCCGCGGTCTGCTGCTCGTTTCTCCACCAAAGCTGTCCGCCCGCAGTCGTCGCTGCGACAGACGTCAGCTTTCCAGCCAGCATGGGCTGCCCCAATTCCCCGCCTCACAGCTTCTTTCCACATGTCAGCGGCGCGGAGGCAAGACAGCGGTAGTACGCATAGGATACATTGCAGTGAGAGAACGCGGCTAACGCGATTTAGTCAATGAAGAGCTCGTCGCGAAGATCCAGAGCGAGATCTCCATGGAGGAGGGCATGAAGGAAGACGAGGACCTCTCTGCCAACATCAAGGAGTACCTTGAGAACAGCCCTTTCGAGGTAAGACCCTGCATAACCATTGCTACTGGCCGAATGCTTACAGCCATTAGATTGAGGACAAGGCAGGCAACCAGGAAGTCGTCCTTACCCGCACATACAACGACGAGAAGATCCGAATCACCTTCACCACCGCCGACCTCAACAACAACCAGCCCAGCGATGAGCTTACTGAGGACAATGCCATGTACGACGATGCCGACATGGATGTGCAGTCTGGCGGCGCCAACACCAAGGGCGCCATCAACCAAGGCACCACACAAGACGGAAACATTCGCGTAGCTCCCGAGGACCGTGTTTCTCCCGCTGATCGCGAGGAACTTGAGGACGACTACGAGGATGATGGCCAACAGCAGGGCTTCCCCGCTCACGCTAGCATTCGCATCGAGCGTCCCGGCAAGGGTGCTCTAGCTATCGAGGCCACCGCTCAGGACGGCGACTTCCTGATCGAGGACCTCTACTACTTCCCTACCGCCGATCTGGCTGACCCCGCCACTGCCGAGAAGGACTGGTCAAGACGCGCTCTCTACACTGTAAGTGCAAAGGCTGCATGTAAATCGTAACAAATCTAACTTCTCTAACAGGGCCCTCCTTTCAACAACCTAGACGAGGACCTCCAGATCCTCCTTGAGAAGTACCTTGAGGAGCGTGGCATCAACACCCGTCTTGCCCTGTTCATCCCCGACTACATTGACCACAAGGAGCAGAAGGAGTACATTCAGTGGCTCAACAGTAAGTTGCACTTACATTTCTCAGTTTCAGTGTCAGGAGCTAACAGACCACCAGACATCAAGAACTTCGTTGCCTAAGCTCAAACCGAATCGAACGGGATCGTCAACGTCTGAAACCCGACTCGGACAATCCAAAATGACGCTTTGCCGGTGCTTTTACGAAGTAATAAAAGTCTCTCATGTATAAACATATAACGCATCTCAATAGTTGAGCTACCCGGGGCGTTAGCGGAAGTGTAAAATAGTTGGTGAGATTGTCCCTCATACATCGTTCTCTGACATGTGCAACACTATCTTGCAAGCAATCATCAGATCGCGAAAGGGACGATCGGAGTACCAGGCAGCTCGAGGCACCAACCTCATATGGGTTGTCTGGGTCCTTAATCTACGAGAACCACGACTTAGGTATCATCGAATGCCAAACAAACGCATATAGCGCTTTTCCACTCATCACTGTTCGAGTTATTCTCTCTGTCCGATGGCTTATCGTGTCGTTTGATCGTTCTGTTTCATTCCAAAGGTCCGTGTCGAGACAAAGACCCGGTTACGGCGCGGCGTTTGCTGGGCCAACAACAAAGCCACCGTTCGTCATCCGCGCATGCACACAAGGTGATTGTTCACTCAATGAAGTTCCGCAAAGAAGTTTGTTCGTTGTCACTGCCGTGGGTGCGGTCAAGGATACATTTCGAAACAACGTTTCGTGACTCTGAATGACGGTCTGCTTGTGATGACTGTATCCCCCTCTTCAAAGCTCGAGGATACTGCTAACCCATACCAAATCTCCGCCAAATTTCTCCAACTTTAAACAGAGAGTCGATCGATACTAGCTTGCGCGTTTGACGGACCACGATCGATAATCCTGCAAGGGAGTAGGGTCTTGCACGACGGACTCACAAGCCATGACGCGCAATACCAGCCCACGCAGTGTTGGTAACGACCCCAGTCGCATTCCATTTCCAAACCTCCCACCGCCATACACATTCAAAGGCAGTCGACCTACACAACGAGGCAACTCAAGTTCGTACCTGACCAGAGCGAACGTTTCCGACTTCACCACTACCAGCACAATCCTCGTCGGCCCTCAACTCACACCATTTCAGATCCAAACCAGCCTCCTCACATCGAAATCTTCCTATTTCCGCGCCGCGCTCACAGGACGCTTTGCAGAATCCCAAAACAACAGCATAACACTCGACGATGTCGCAGTCGACGACTTCCAACTCCTCGTCACCTGGCTCTACGAGCAAGCAGTACCGATCCCCTACAAAGACCGAAAACCAGCATACTATACCCTCCTACACGTCTACGCCCTAGCCGACCGACTAGGACTCGAAGGCGCGAGAAACGCCATCATAGACACAATAAGCGACCTTGCCGACGAAACGAACAGCGTGCTAACACCCTCCGATACACGTATCCTATACGAAGACATCCGCGAATCGGCGCCTATCCGTACGCTCGTGCTAGATCTCTTTGCTTTCAAGAAGACAGATCGATTGCTGGAATTGCATGCGGGACAGTGGCATGCAGAGTTCCTCCGCGATCTGACTGTACATCTGAAAAGACCGTGTGCGCAGGCTATGCAGCGGCATAGATTGCGCATGTGGTGTCCCATGTCCTGGCACACGACACGCGGATGTGATTACTGTGGAGTTGTACTACTGCCTAGGTGTGGAGCGGTGGCTTGTGACGATTGCTGTGTGGCGTTTTGTACGGCTTGTGTTCAGGGAGGTGTTGCGATGGCGCGGTG